TTTTGTTTGACAAAGCTACTAATGGGTTTGAACCACTAGCCTTTCTGTTAGCAGCTGAACACTTAATTATTGGCCCACTGTATATCTTCATGTATTTTTTCCAGCAAATTTTAGTGTTTTTGGCAAAATAAAATATCTCTTAGGCCCTAAGTGCTTTAAAATAAGCTTTGTTCACTGATACACAGGACCCAACTGCTGTTAAATCTATTCAGACTCAGAAACTAAGAAGTAGAGTCGAGCAGTTCCATAGGATTTCTGAGGCAGCAATTCTGCATGGGAACAAATAGTCCTATCCTTTGGCTGCTGAGCAGGTAGTGGGTGCGCATCAGTTTCAGGTTAGCAATGTGATGCTTAATCCATAATGCCACTAGGGCTCTTTTACACTCCTATAAGCTAGGATATAAAGGAAATTCCCTAAAAATTCTTAGATCATCTCTTTTAAAAAAAAGTGACCAGCTTGCATTTTTATAATGAAAATGTGTGGATTTCTATTGAGCTACAATGTCACATGGTATTGAATGAGCTTTTTAGGCTATTATTTTAAAACCCTTTCATTTGAAATAGACCTTCATATGCAGAGACACAACAAATTATGTGAGCAACAGGCAGTCATAGATGGTTCCGTCCAGAGCGCTAGCTAGAATTCACTGTGACCTTCTGAACAAGTACTTGTGACCAGAATGCAAGTGAATAAAGAATTGGAAAATTAAAAGGTATATACATACATATCCTCTATATTTATGTACAGAATAATACTCATAACCAAATACTTGTCATACACCTGGAAAATCGTAGCAACAATTCAGATAATATGTTGAGATTAAATTGAGATCTTTTGCTCGAGGCCAGTACCTCTGTATCTTTCCTGTCTATTCTGGTAAAGGGCTCAAAAGTAAAAGGTACTTATTGACTACTGTTATTTGCTAACGTTTTCTCAGATGTGATGCTGACACTGGGGTTACAAACCTCATTAAAGAAACCTTCCATCATTTAAATAATTAAAGCACTCATCGATCAAAGATATGAATCATAGGAGAAGCTAGATATTCTAAAAGATAAATGGATGGCATGGATGGTGATGATTTAGGAATTCAGAGCAAGAAAATATAAACATTTTTGTAAATAAAAAGACACGAAATTAATTGATAGCTTATTATTGCTAGTTGCCCTCAAGTAGGTTATGTCTGATAGCGACTCCATTTACAAAAGAACAAAACATTGCTCGATTGTTAAAACCAGGTGTCAGTCTATCTTGCCTTTCACTTTTTCTTTGATTTTCGACCAGGCATGATATCCTTTTCCAGGAACTGGTCTGGTCCCTCCTTGTAATATGTTCAAAGTACTGGAGACAAAGTCTTGTCCTCTGTAATTCTTTTATTTTTCATCATTTTATTGGGTGCTCGTACAGCTCTTATCACAATCCATACATGCATCCATTGTGTCAAGCAGAGTTGTACATTTGTTGTCATCATCATTTTCAAAACATCTTCCTTCTACTTGAGCCCTTGGTATCAGCTCCTTGTTTTTTTTTCCTTCCTCCCCGACCCTCCCTCCCTCAAGAATCCTTGATAATTTATAAAATTATTATTATTTTTTTCATGTCTTACATTGACCAATGTCTCCCTTCACTCACTTTTGTTTTCTCTGCGCTGCTGGGAGGGGTTATATGTAAATCACTGAGATTAGTTCCCTTTTCTTCCCCATCTGCCCCTTCAGCTCCTGGTGTCACTACTGTCATTATTGGTCCTCAGGGTTTTATCTGTCCTGGATTCCCTGTGTTTCCAGCTCTTATCTGTACCTGCTTTGGTCTAGCCTGATTTGTAAGGTAGAATTGGGGTCATGATAGTGGTGGGGGGCGAAGCATTAAAGAACTAGAGGGAATTTGTATGTTTATGGATGCTATATTGCACCCTGACTGGCTCATCACTTCCTTATGACCCTCCAGTGAGGGGATGTCCAATTGTCTACAGATGGGATTGTTCTGGGTCTTAGATACCTGATCCCATCGACACCTCATGATCACACAGGCTGGTGTGCTTCTTCCATGTGAGCTTTGTTGCTTTTGAGCTAGATTGCTGCTTGTTTATCTTCAAGCCTTTAAGACCTCAGATTCTATATATCTTGATAGCTGTGCTGAAACACTAAGGGTGTGCAACAGAGCAGCAAGGGAAAAAAACAATGAAGTCCCCGGGGAAAAACAAAAATAGACTTTGGGGCCAGGGCATGGCACCCCATCAGACTTGACCGGAAAAACACTCCTAAATGTCAACAAACAGACCTGAAACTATTTATAGGCTTTTCTCTTTTTTTGTCATTTTTTGGTTGTTGTTGTTATTTTTGATGTTTTGTTTTGTTTTTCTTTTGTTATTTTGTTTTACTCTGTCTTGTTTTTGTGCTTATTATTGTCTCTGCATGTCTATCTAGAAAAGATAGGTGGGACAAACAATCTCAAGAAGAAAACTATGGGCCAGTGGTTCTGGGGGGACACTGAAGAGAAGGAGACAAGGGAAAGGAAGTGGGTGCTAACAAACCCAAGGACAAGGGAACAACAAGTGATCTAAAATTGATGGCGAGGAAGGTATAGGATGGCTGATAGGGCTTGATCAAGGGCAATGTAACCCAGAGGAATTACTGAATCCTGAATGAAGGCCGATCACGATCTTGGGACAAGAGGAAAATAAAAGGAAATAGAGGAAAGAGCTAGGAGGCTAATGGGCATTTATAGAGGTCTAAATACAGGCATGTACATATGTAAATATATATATGTAACAATATGGAAATTGATCTATGTACATATATTTACATTTAAGTATTAAGGTAACAGATGGACATTGGGCCTTTACTCAAGTACTCCCTCAATGCAAGAACACTTGTACTAATAACCTGGCATTCCATGACGCTCAGCTTCCTGACATGATCGCTGAAGACAAAACAGGTGCATAACAAATGTGGTGCAGACAGCTGATGGTGCCTGGCCGTCCTCTTGGATGCTAAGGAGCATTCTGGCTGTGCTATTTCTAAGACAGCCTTGTTTGTTCTTCTGGCAATCCATGATATATTTAATATTCTTTGCCACCACCATAAAGTAAAGGCATTAGTTCTTCACCAGTCTTCCTTATTTATTATCCAGATTTCTCATATATACGAGACAATTGAAAGCACCATGACTTGAGTCAAAAGCACATTAGCCCTCAAAGTGGCGTCATTGCTTTGTAAGATTTTAAAGTTACGGTGCAGCACCTTTTCCCAGTGCAGAATGTCATGGGATTTGTGCTCCATTTATCATGATGTTTTTTACTGGATAATCTCATTCATTCTTCTTTTTATGTTCCAATGTCACTTATTTTGAGAGACTTTTCTGAAGTACCCTAGTATGTCAGCAATGCCTAAAGCAACTACTTTATTATATCCCATGTCTGCCTCATCCAGATTACTTCTGAACAATATGACATTATCATAATTATTTATGCAATTGTTTATTGTGTATGTCACCCACCAGAATATTATTTACCTGAAAATAGGCGCTTCTATCTTGCTGCCACCGTGCCTGGGCCTCTTCTGAACTCTTTTATAAAAGAAAGCAAATGTGTTGTAGTCACGTCAGTTGTGACATAGGCACCCTCGTGTGTTGCTGAGCTTCATAGCTTTTCTTCTCTTTTATTGTATGGGATCAGATTACTAGGCATTGTTCTTCCTTCTTTTTTTTTGCTGTCTTCCTTAGTTAATTATATATTAAACATTAAGGACTTTATGTATATACTCAGAAACTCTAAAATTATGTTCATCGTGCTTGCCTTAGTTCTAACAAGAGCTCTCAGGTTACTATACAAAAAATATTTTGCAAAATTTTAAGTTCGAGTTGTGATTGGGTCTAGTGCAATTGTCCCAATTTATAATGAAAGGCAGACAGGTTTTTAAGTTTTATGTACTATTTTCAATTAAATATACTTTACATATACAATTGCATTTTAGATAATGTGTATACAATTGTATCCCTTTCTTTCACTGCCATCAAACCACTGCTGACTCATAGCAACCCCCTGTGGGTGTCCAAGACTGTAACTGTCTATGGGAGTAGAAAGCCCAGTCTTCATCCTGAGGAGCTGCTAATGGCTTTGAACTGCTGACCATGTGGATGTCAGCACAATGCATAACCACTACAACACCAGGGATCCTCTATCCAATTGTGTGTTTGTATGTGTATATACACACACATATACATGGAGCTCACAGGGGCAGTCCAAGCTTGTCACGTAGCATCACTGTGAGTCATAATTGACTAGAAGGTAGTGAATTTAGTTTTCAGAATTTAAATATTATGTATGTTTATACATATGAATAGTATATAGTATTAAGTAAGTATATATTAAACAATATATAATAAATACTATTTAAAATTTAAGGAGCCCCGGTGGCACTGTCTAGTAATTGTTGGACTGCAAACCAAAATGTAAACAATTAAAAGCCAAGAGCTACTTAGTGAGAAAAAGATGAGGCTGTTTTGTTCTTATAAAGACTCACACCCTTCAAGGCCCCATATAGGGTATCCAAGAGTGGGGCTGTGCTTGATGGGAGTGGACTTCATGGGAGAAGAATTATTTAGAATGTAAGGGACATGATATGATGTTTACTTTTCATTTCCTCCACACTGACAAGGCCAGCACGTGAACAATCTTACCACACCATGTAATTTTGGAAACCATTTCACACATATTTGATTTGATATGTCAATCCTGAAATTAGGTGCAATGTTAAGTGGTCACACTTTTAAATAATGCTGTATAAAAATATCCTTTACAGTTTGAATTTATAGAGCACCTTTTCTCAACCAAACGTGTGTATGTAAACGTACTTTTAAAGTTCTCTATTGCCAAGAAAAGTGCTAGTTTACCATGGCTTAAGGACACTAGTTTAAGGTAACTTACCTGATATAGTAGTGCAATTTGTTTGAAAAAAAACCCACCCTTATACTTGTATTTGTCTATTTTGTGTTTCTTTAGAATCTCTTTTTTAAGTGATGGAGGACTACAAATAGCCAATGTAACTAAAGCCGACATTGGAACTTACACCTGCATAGCAGAAAACCAGTTTGGAAAAGCAAATGGGGCAACACATTTAGTTGTGACAGGTGCGTGCATTTCTTAAATGCTAGTTGGTAAACTCCTTGTGCTGAATTTTTAAGATCAAAGAAAGTTTGTGTTTCTCACAACGCACAGTTTGATATGAAGGTAGATGTGTCTTTGCACCTGTGTTATTTTTAAGATATGAAATTCAAGAGAACCATTCTTAATATTTCTTTAGCACAGCAGAGTGTGATTCTGTGAATAAATTAGTTGTGCTGTAAGGATGGGCAATAACAACCAATAATATCAAAGTTGATATAGATTTTTTTATTTATGCTCTTCAACTATTCCACAGAGTTTAGGTATAATTCTTCATTTTCATGATCACTGATATGTTTTAATATCTTTTAATCACTGGTATCTGTAAGCATTGCTTAGAGCCACATATATAGATTATTCATTCTTTCATACACACACAAAAATGTGGGCCACCCACTATGTTCCTGGTACTTGGGCTTTAGCAGTTGACTAATAAACACTGCCCTCCTGTATCTCACATTCTACCAGAGAAAGAAAGAAAATAAAAGGTGCAATAAATGAGCCAATAATTAGAAGGGGAAAACTACCCAAAAGTTGAGAGAGGGGGAGTATGTGGGGAGAAACTAGTTAGAGCATCACTGGGGTGATCAGAGCAGGCCTCATTCAAAGGAAGCATTTGAACAAAGAGTTCCTGGATATGAGGGAGGAAGCCAACAGATGTCTAGGGAACACTTATGGAAGGAACTAGAAGACCTTTGTTGGGTCTGTAGCTGTTCATCTGAGTGAAAGGCAAAACCAGTGCAAAGTTGTGAGGAAGCATGGCATGATCTGCAGTGTATTTTTTTTAACAACCATTCTGCCTACTTTACTGAGAAAAAACTATAAGGAACCAAGGGTAAAAATTAAAGTTGTCTCAGAACCTATTACAGCGCTGCAGTCAGGAAGTTATAATGGGCCGATTGAGGATGACTGCTAAAGAGTGGATGAGAAAGGATCAGACTCTACATATGTTCTGCTTCTAGAGCCAACAGGCTTTGCTGACAGTGTAGATGTGAAGTTCAGGAGAAAGGGTGATAGAAGGGTGTTTGATCAGCAACAGGGAGAATGACAGTCCAAACACTTAGATCGGGAAGGATTGAGACTGAGCAATCTTGAGGAAGAAGAAAGATCGTGAGCTCCTTTATGGTGGTGTTGAGTTTGATATGTTAATTGGGTTTTGTGTTCACAACACAGACTAGGGTAGTCTGCAATAATAAAGAAATTCATTATCTTAATACAAGAATACTTTTTTTTTCATACTACAAGGCCAAGGTGGGTCAGCCAACCTGTCCTCCCTTAGGAATAAAGGTTTCAGTACCTCCATCATCTGACACATTGCCTATTACTCTGCAAGGGGAAAGAGGACAATTGGGATTCCCCTTAGGTCTTCCAATTTTGCCTGCAGCATCATGTATAACTTCAAAGGAGTAAAGAGGGTGAGAATCTATGCTCTGAAAGAGAAAATGGAGAATAGCATTGACAAACATTAATATCTATACCTCCTAGGTGAATGGTCAGGGATGCATTTGGATTTGGGGCAGAAGGTCAAGGATGGAGACACACATTGAGAATTGTTAGGACTAGATGAAATCACTCAGGAAAAAGACAGGGCTTTCAACTTCCCTAAAGGGTTCGTCTTGGAAATTCACAGGGTCAGTTCTACCCCATCCTGCAGGGTCACTGCTAGCCACCCTCAACTAGATGGCAGCGAGAGAGAAAGATGAAATCACGAAGGGAGTGGTGAAAGCACAGAATACAGAAGACCAAGGACTAAGTTTGAGTTATTTCAACATTAACAAATTTGAGAAAAGAAAAGGGCTGTAAAAAGAACCACATCAGAGGTGACTCACATGGTAGAAGAAATGTACAAGCTTTGTGTTCCAGAGGTAAGCAATAATAACAACCAAAAGAACAAGGGAAGACCATGATCTAGTGTAGCAGATGGTTCTGAGGTCAAGTAAAATGAGACTACAAAATTTACCAGTGAAATTTACTGCCAGGGTGTCTGTTTGTGATCCTGATGAAAGCAGGTCATTTGGGAAGTGGGAAGGTGACCATACTGTGTTTAAAAGGAAATTTAATAGAAGAATGGCAGACAACTTGTACAATCTGCAACTCTTTGCAGGACGTCTCCTCCAACAGGGAGAAAAATGAGGAGGAGCAATGGACAAGTAGCAACCTGAGAAGTGCAAATCTCTCTGAATGGAAACTTTGTGAGGATGACTTTGAGAAGAAATATGCACATAGACATTTAAATGGGAGGCCAATAAAACAGACATTAAGTGACAGTTTAGCATAGAACCCCTTGAAAAATAAAAAGCTACTCTATCTTTTTGTGTAACGTCTTTCAAGCCTATGATAACCTCTCAAATGTTTAAGTCTGTATATGTTGGTGATAATGTATTTGCAAGGCATTCAAAATTGGTGGAATACACCAAATATACCAAGTGGTTTCCTCTTTCAATCCCTGTATTTCTATCCCTTACTTTGCTGAAAAATAGAAAATATTAAGATTAAAAAGGGTTTTGTAATAGTCTTATTACCCTTGTTACTTTGAGGTTACTTTGATTTTTTTAGACCCAGATAGCCCATAAACTGTTAGCCTCATTGTGTTAGGCCAGATTTCCTAGAGAAACAAATTCATTGACACTCACATCTGTGTAAGAAAGCGCTTTAGAATAATAGGATATTGAGAAAACATCCCAGCCTTGTCAAAATCAAGTCCAGAAGTCCAATACTACTCCAAATCCCTATTCAGACTCACAAAGCTCTATGCAATAATGGAGAATTTAAGAAGATCAGTGGGTGCAGAATCTTCTGGATTCAGTGGTGGTGGAAGCATGGTAAGGTTTTGGCAACTCTCAGCCATGTGGATCACCAGTGGGATGGTGAAGACAAGTGAGAGAGTGTCCTGCTTTCAGCCAGCCATTTATCTCAGTCACCCTTGAATCAAGCTGCAACCTAATTGATTAGGCTAAACTCTATCCACATGTTCCTAGGGGACCCATGTATTGGCATACCAAAAAAATAAACTAAAGTAACTATCACAATCCACCCCTTCCCAACTTGACACTTGTACATAATTCTTTAGCCATACATAATTTTTTTTGCCAACCCGCCCCTCAGCCATATATAATTTTTAAAACAAAGGAAATAGTAAAATAATACGTGTGCTTAACAGGATAAAACTAAACTACATTCACCTCAAAATGTGCCAAACTCATTTAAACATAGTACTTCAGAAGCAAAAACAAAAACAAAAAATTCTATGCTTCACAATGCAGTTATGTGAACACCTACACAATAATCCTATACTTTTAAAAACATATTCCGCCACCCATGAAAGTTTTAAGCCAGCCGCTTCATGCCTTTATCCTCCCCATTTTGAATGTCTAATCTCTGTACTGCCCTCTTACATCAACCCAGTGCTCTGAGGAGACAAGCATGTTCATTGGTGTGAAGAATCCTCTTTCCAATTGGAACCTTGTGAGTCTGCATCCATAAGCAAAGTCAAATCGGGACATGCTGGCCATAAAATCAGCAGCAATATGCACCAATTCACAGGCTCAAAAATGTTTTCTTCATTAGGTTCGGTTCTGCTCAACTTGCTTTGCTTCATCCTTTGCCCATTGTCCCCTTTTCCTTTTGACCAAGGCCCATCACAAATTCTCAACCACCCTAGTCCCCTTGGGCTGGGTCATGAACTTCAGACCAGCCAACCTACTCTTGTCTTCTCTAGTCCATGTGAACCAGGTCCATGGGTGTCAGTGGCCAGACTCAACCTTTCTCTATATTATTGCATTTCTCCCACTTCCAGTCAACAGGTGCTCACTTAGAAAGCATTTCAGCTTGCCCACAGGCTCCCATTAATGTTCAGTCCTAGAGAGGAGAAATTCTTCATGGTTCCAAATTTTTCTAGTTTCAGCCACAAACCTCTAGTTCAAAATTCAAAAAGCCCAAGGGTTCCTTTTTCCTTCATCAGTCTGTCAACAGCCCCCTAGGCAAATTTCTTGGGATGCAAATGTCTTGAGCACTCAAAGCATTGCATCTTGGGATGCAAATGTCTTGAGCACTCAAAGCATTAGGCTGTGCCTATCTTTTCCAAGCATGCTTTGCAGGCCAGTCCTATACCAATCTGAAGATCCGATTTAAAGGCTGAAGGCCAGTGCTCTTATAAGCTTTCTACTTTAATATGTCCCAATAATAATTTCTATCAAATCAATAACAATAAGTAGAAGGAATCAGTATAAACATAGTAGAGTCAGATCTTAAACTCCTTAAAATATTCCAATTGATCCTTTCTAGCTAAACTATCTTATCTAAAATAAACTTTCTTATCTAAGCTTGAAACAGTCTAATTCAATCCTTCTTATCTAAACTATTTGTATGCAATGTGGCCTTAGGTCTCTGGCTGCATCAAGCCAGAGTGGGCCTTCTGACATTTTGCCCCCTGAGCTCAAAATTTACATTAATCACGTTCACTGTCATCATTTCAGACAGGAATAACTAAAGACAACAAGCAAAGAAAGGAACCAACACTTTAATTTCCCATGTTCTTTCCAGAAAACAACCCAATAAACTGCATGGCCATAACTGACTTCCAGCTAGCCAGATAATACTGCCATGAGGCAGAGGTAAGACAAGCATCCACTCTCCATCTTCATGAATAGTTTCTCTAGTATCCCACTGCCAAGGTACCAAAATATTTTAGGCCAGGTTAATTTAAAAAACAAATTCATTGACAAATACATGAGTAAGAAAGGAGTAATTGGATATCAAGAAATTAAGTTCCAACCCAATCCAAATTAAATCCATAAGCCTGATACTAGCCCATAAATTTCTCTTCAGACTCACACAACTACATCCAATTATGCAAAATTCAGGAAGGTCAAAGGCTGGTAGGTGCTAAGTCTTGTGGATCCAAGGTATCTTCAGTGCTCCGACAGGTCTCAGCTGTGTTGCTCACCAACAGGGAGATGAAGCAGAGAGAGAGAGTATGTCCTACCTTCAGCAAGCCCATTTATCTTTGTCATCCTCTAATGAAGCTGTGACCTGATTGATTGACATGAATTCTCCCCACAGGTTCCTTTAGGAGCCATGTTAGCACAAAAACCTAAATCATCCATATAAGAAAGATTTGTGCATCTAAAGAAATATGTATTGCACTGTCTACTTTATTTACATGTATCTGTCCATATGTATTTACAAACATACACACAATGATTAACAATCTGGCTCTGAAAATTGTTTTCATCATAGTAAAGATGTGAAAGTTTCACTTTAACACATTTTCTCCCAATAGAACCAACAAGAATAACATTCGCACCATTGAACATGGACGTCTCAGTTGGCGAGAGTGTCATTTTGCCTTGCCAGGTGCAACATGACCCCCTGTTAGACATTATATTCACCTGGTATTTTAATGGGGTCCTCACAGATTTTAAGAAAGACGGATCTCACTTTGAGAAAATCGGCGGGGTAAGTGTGATGCTCCCTTCATACTTTTATATAATGGCATGGTTCTCTGAAACATGGTCTTTGAAAGTACATCTAGCACATAGGTGATGGTGGAGAACTGTAGGCTAACTGAGTGATTATAGGCACTCAGAAACATTGTGCACTAATGATATATTGTATAGGAATAAGAGGGTGTACTCATTTTCTTAGACCTATAATTTCCATGAAGTTATGGATGTTATATTTATGGAGCCACGTTGGCAAAGTTTTATAAAGCTCAACTGCAAACCCAAAGGTCAGCAGTTTGAACTCACCTGCTGATCATTTGCTCTTAGTAAGATACAGTTTTTAAAAGCTTGTGGGTAGTTATAGTCCAATTAGTTCACTGAAAGTCAGAATCTACTTGAAGGTAATGTGTGTTTGTTTTTTAATGGGTAGTTTTGTGTGTGTGTGTGTGTGTGTGTGTGTGTGTGTGTGTGTGTGTGTTTTGCTTCATGTTTGTATTCCTCCTTCTTTCCTAACCGTTCCAGATTTGGCCTTGGGTGAATGTTGACCTTTTGACCTCAAATAATTTATCATTCTAAAGTGTGTGTAACTCACTAGTGTTATTATTCCCCTTACTGATTTGTCAGTTTGCTTGAAAACAGAGCCATGGAACTGAGTTCATTTCCAAACTTGAAAGGTGACTAAAGGCTTCCAACAGTTTCTAGCTGATAGATAAATCTGATCACTTTTTATGATCTTAAACTTTGTTTGATATTTTTTGCCTATCTGTCTAGGACCTTATAATGTGATCCCTTTCAGAGTGGTTGGCTGTGGTAGCTAGGCGCACTTCTGTTCCTCTGGGTGCAGGATCTTTGACATTAATGTTCACGTGGCCATCTGGACTAATTATTTCTGTGCATTGCCAAATTTCTTTAGTCTTCTTTCCTCTGGACAAAGAGATACAAATAGTAGCACCTTAGATGGCTGCTCATGAGCGTCTAGTACTCTAGTGGGTACTCACTGAAGTAGTATGTAGAATCTTGTCTTTATATGCGACTGTAGGCCAGCTGACTTGGTGTACCCTGAAACTATGGTCCTTTTAATTTATGTTAAAAATATTATTATTCATAATTATTGTGTTTTTAGTATCTCCAGAAATTGAAATCATTCATATACAGGGTTTTACTTCCCACATATGTATGAAGAAGTAAGAAGAAATTCATACTTGATTGATATACCATGCCAAGTGCTTCATCCTTGATAATCCTCACAATAGCATTGGGCGTTTTTAGAGGGGAAAAAAATTTATTTCATAGATGCCCATACAAGGGATTTGAAAGGTTTATAAATTTTCCCAAGGCTGTGCAACTACTTAGTAGTTAGTCTAGGTACTTTGGAAAAACAAATCCACAGCAACTCATATATAA